CAGGGCTCCGTGGCAGCGATGATCTCCCCATCGGCCTCCACTTCCTAAGCATGACCTTCTTAGCTTGAACTTCTGGGTTTGGATCATGGAGGTGCATTGATGAAGCGATACACACACTTCGGCATGGCACCACTGGGCTCACCCGGCGGGAGGTGCGGCATAGAGGGGTAGAGGTGATGAGCGGCTCTTGTAGGGGAGACGAAGGGAGTCGATGAAGCCAACCAATGAAGTTGCCTGCTGGGCCGGTGCGGCTACCTCCGGAGCGTGCAGTGCTGGACCCGGGGAACCCAGAGCAGCAGGTGCAGGGTTCACAGAAGCGCGGGCTGAATCGGTCGGCATGGCCACCGACTCCGAGGCCGGTCTAGGTACATCAACAGAACAAGGCACGCAATTCGGCCCAGAGCCGGCCTAATCCGTGAACATATCAACATCATCTGCCGGGTTGTGGCATAGCTGGCGCACTGGGCCCGAGCCGGCCCCGCCCAGGAGCAACGCACCCGCTGGGCCGAGACGATATCGCCTGCACAGGGATCCAACAGAAAATCTAGCCCATCATGGTCCAAGGGTTCGCAGGGACGGACGCCCTAGAGTAAGGCAAGGTCGTCGCTGAGAATCTTCCAAGGAAGCCTGGGGTACCTTCGTACTCCTCACGACGATCGATGACCAAGAAGTCATCAGCGGCAACGATGACGGACTACTCCTGCAGAGAAAGTGGGATGGCCTGCTCGATCAGCATTGATTAACAATTAACTATTAACTCTATGATCCAAACAATACCTTATCTCCTACAACTAAAAAGAACAAAGTGTGGATATTTTTTGGTGCGACATTTGTTTTGGTTCGTCCGTCTGCCCACGCCTGCGATCCCACGACATCTTAATTACTGATTGATCGTGTCATTCTCCTTGATTGAATATTGCCTGTCATGTGATAGAGGAATCATGGCAAAATAGGAAGTAGAAAATTATTGTGCTATCCATATACACATTGTATGTTTGCATGCACCAGCATACATGCAAACAAACAAAAGGAAAGAGAATTAACACAGAAGGAAAGAGAATTAAGATAAAAGGAACATCTTTGCATTTCTGAGAACCTTGCCAAATCTGCCTATATTTATTTACTTTCCCTCTTTGCATTTGCAAAAGGGACATCTTTTTTCTCCTTTCATTTGGTTTCACGCTCACGTGTTCCATCGCCCTCGCTTGCTGTTTCTTACGTGAACCATAGTTGATGTCATCTGTCTTTCATGGCTCAGACTCTCAATTCCAAGAGAAGGTCCCTACCTCTCCCTGACTGGAGATCCGGCCTGCCAGAGGATCTCCTCGAGTCCATCAGGCAGCGTCTCGTGTCAGGCCACGACACGATGTCCTTCCGATCCGCTTGCTCCCCATGGCGCGTCGCCGTCCCGTTCGCGACCTTCGGGCCGCTCCTGCTGCTCCCGTTCGACCCTGACTCGGATCGCGTCGGCTTCTACTGCGTCCCGGAGAAGGTCTTGTCCAAGACGCTGCCCGACGTGCTCGGCAAGGTGGCGTGCGGCTCCTCGTGTGGGTGGCTGGCGCTCATGGACGAGGCGGCGTCCGTGACGCTGCTGGATCCATTCGCCGGTGCCCGTGCCCCCCGCGTTGAGCTCCCGCCAGCAGGCGAACACGTCGTGGTGGCGTCCTCATCGGAACGCGTGTCTAGGGTCCATGGCCGGTGGGTCCTCCATCCCACCAACGGCTACGGGGATGCGGATGCCGCAGGTAGAGCCATCAAGCTAGAAGACATGAAGGACGTGTTCTTCCGTGAGATCGTGCTCTCGGCGCCGCCTAACGCCGCCGGCCACGAGTGCGTGGCCATGGCCATGCTTGGGTGCTCCACGGAGGTCGCGTTCTGCCGGGTTGGAGTCGACAGCGCATGGACGCTGCTCGACACCAAACTAGAGTTCTCTATGAGGTCCATCGTCCACTGCCAAGACAAGTTCTTGGTGATCGACTGCACTAGAGAAATCTCTGTCTACAGCAGCAACGTCGTCGGCGCTACTCCAACCGCGACGCTGCTGCCATCGCTGTCACCACCTGCGGGGCTCTGCCACCGCAGCTACCTGAAATCAAACGGTGAGCTGCACATTGTGGGTGCCATGGTGAGTACGTTCTACGAGACACAGAGCTTCACCTACAGCAGCGCAATTTACAAGTGCAACCTCCACGACCGTACGCCGGAGTGGTCCAGGGTGAGGGACATTGGTGATTAGACATTGTTCATGTCTAAACATTTCAATGAAAGCTTCAGTGGAACAAGAATATCCAAGTACAAGGAGAATAAAATCTACATGTCTAAGCCATTGTATGGGGATCCATACGACTTGGTCCATCGACTAGAGATTGTTGATATTGCTACCGGCGCATCCGAAGTGAAGCCCGTCTAGGAAAAGATGCAGAGTTCCGAGGCTCTAAGTTGGATTCGACCCAATCTCTGGAAGCTCTAGAGTTTGTGAGCCTGCGACGCCGCGCACTCCGTGACTGTGTTAAATTCATAAACTTTGCCTTTTGGATTAAATGTCACTTTAACGTTGATATTTAATTTAACAGTATGGTTATCTCATCGTGCGATCCGTATGTTTTTAATATAAATTGTTAGTTATTCCGTAGCAACGCACGAGCACGCTAACTGGTTCATAACTAAAGCAAAGCACGAATGTAGCCATGCGGAAGGTTGGAGGCGAGTGGGAGAGTGGCTACTTCAGTTGTGAAAGGCACTAGCTTTACTTTGCTGTAGTTGCAAATTAAAATGAGATGTTCATCGCGAGAACCTAAAGACAAGCAAAAATGAGTGAATTTATATCAGCACATTCCGTCCAATATGATGATCAGGCGTGAGTTTTTGTTAACACATCAGTGTCACTGGATGATCACAGCTTGGGCCAGGAGATCGGCAAACGCTTAAGGAAGCTGAATGGTCGCGTCTTTGGGCCGGACTGGGTCCATGTGCTGACGATGAAGTGAGTGTAGTCTAGACCCGTGAGGAGTCGGCCAGAGCGGGTGCGTGTGTGGGCTCTGCCAAGCTGTATCAAGAGATACCATGTAAACAAAACCCAGAACTCCTCGGTCTAATGACAGCTTCATAGTGATTAGTGAGTCATGATCTAGTTCTAAGTATTTTATTTTATATTTTAATTGAAGAGAGAGAAAAACTAACTTTTGATCAAGAGCTACTCTCATATACATATTTTAAAATCATGTGAGGTTATCATATGGAACTAACCATATTACAAGCTATTGTTAAAAGCTAACATCGTTATCTTAGAGGCAGTAGCTCATGTTGTTGAGAGTGTACTAAGCATTCATCATCTGATCCTCCAGCTCTATTCTGCTTATCCCTGATTCCTTCTCCAATCTTCCTATCCTTGCTAGTTGTTAGCAGTTTTGTGTGCTGTGAGGTAATGAAAGTAGAAATATCAGAGGGCAGGTTAGGGGACTGAACTTTAGTACAGAGGAGCATATAAGACGAAGCAACGGGGTAAATGGTTCGTTTCAATGGGGTAAATGACAAATCATTGTACATTTCAATGGGGTAAATGGAAAATCATTGTTTTTAAAAGAAAATGAAGAATCATCAAAAATAGGGAAAAGGGGGGGAATCTAACACCAGGTTCGCTTAAAAAACACAAGAAAAAATATAAAAAAATAAAAAAGAGAAAATTTTGGGGAAAGGGAAAAATCTGAGAGAGTTCGTTTCAAAAAAAAATCATCTGAGCCCAGATTCGAACTGAGGACCTTTAGTGAGTGAGACTAACGTGATCAACAAGACCACCAAAACCTGTTGTCAAGTTATCCGATGAGATATTTATTGTGTGATTACACGACTATTCACATGACAAGATATCCAATTGTCGCCTTCGCTTTTGCGTTGGATTTAAGCGAGCCAACAGAATCACATGAACGAGTGGACACGGCATTTCCGATCCGATGGACGCGGTTGGTTGCGATTTGCACACCTTGGATCATTTATACGCCGCGAACTGAGCGTAGCTCAGTTTATTGGGTCGTCTGTGGTAGAACCTGCTCACCCCTGGATTTGAATCTGGATGTTCTGTATTTTTCTGAATTTATTTCAAAATTTAATGGCTCTATTCTTTCAGTGATAAACGACATACTCATCGACAACGAGACATCTATGATGTAACTTCATCGATCTCGAGATTTACCGGTCCACTAATTCTTTTAGAAGTGCTCATAGGAGTAAAGTGTATATGCGTGCGTTCATATGGGTGAGTCTGCGTGCTTGTGTATGTGAGCGTCTGCATTTGTAACTAGATCTTGTAAAAAAAATAGTCATTTATATGTCATCTTTGCATAGGGAGAAATCAATAATATAATAGATCTATATTTAGAGATCCACTTAAAGATGTTGTTGGAGAGTATTTTATCCCAAAATCTTTGTTTTATAAATAAATTATAAGTAGCACGTAAAGAGTCTCTTCGAGTTGCTCCTGCCAGGAGCTTGATCGGTTTACAGGCAAATTTTAGTTGTGAAAACTTGGGCAAGCACTGATTTGACCTCTATTTGATTTGTTGGTAAAATTTACTGATATCTCATGATAAGTTGTCAAATCTGTGATAAATATATTTGCTCAACTTTTGGTAACTTTTGATTAACCAAGGGCCCTACACTAGTCATTAATCAACCTCACCAATCAATGGCCCTGAACAAGGGCAAAGCACGGGACGGCCACGAACAATGGAGAGAAGCAATTCAAATAAAAAAAAATCGATTAGGCGCCATTGATATTTGATTGATACTCATGGCAGCAAGGATTACACTGAAGTCATGATCGATCACAAGCAGACTTCCAGACCATAATCAATCATTCCTTCGCATACTCGCAGCATGACATGACAACATCTGGGGAGAAGGGCAAGGAGAGAGAGATAAAGGGAAAGAAAGAAAAAAAAAGAGCAGGTCTTGATCTGAATCACGCCGGCGGCGGCGCAACCTACTCCGGCTCCGGCCGGCCACTAGCCCGCGTAGACGTGGATGCCGATGGCGATGAGGAAGATGGTGATGAGCGCGAAGTAGAGGACGGCGTGGACGAGGATGGCGAGGCCGCTGGTGTGCATGCTGCCGAACTCCGCCACCCGGCCCCGGCCCGGCAGCGTGCACAGCAGCCCCGGCGTGAGGACCACGAACAGCACCGTCGCCACGATCACGGGGCCCCAGTCCGCCATCGACGCCTCCCTCTCCCTCTCCCTCTTCCTTCCTTCACCTCGCTCCCGGTCTCAGATTCTGGAAGTGAAGCTCCAAATCTGCGCTCTCCTTTTGTCGTTGTCGAACTCTCTCTTTGAATGAGGAGCGCCGCAGTGGCGCCTGCCAGTCACGCACTTTTAGACGAGAAAAGAAAGCGTGGCGGGGCCCACTGCGTGGTTCGAGAGCGACTTGGGCCCATGCGCCAGTGACAGGGGCAGGAGCGTGTGTGGTCCAGCCTGTCCGACGCGGGGGCAAGGAATCCAACCGTTGCTGCTTTGCTTGCGCAGGGGAGTGGAGCGGAGTACACGGGTGCGGTGCGAGCGTGCGTGCGAGGCGAGGCACCGGAGTACACGGGTGCAGGCGCGGCAATCCTGCTGGACTTGGGCCCTTCAAAGGTCCAATATTTTTTTTTAAGAAATTAAGGTGCAATAATTTGACACCGGCAGCCGCTCTATTTTTTTTTTTGTTTTTCTAAACGAAAAAAGGCTAGCGTACGGGGGTCGGCTAGCGTACGGGGGTTCGGCCACATGAATCGTCGGAACGCTACTCTGGTGCTCCTACACCTGCGCACGCATCACATCTCACCCCCTCCCCACGCCCCGTATCCCATCCTAGGGCAGCGTCTGCGTTCGAATGCAGCACCCTCGATGACCCCACCCCAACGCCAAGGCGAGATGGAGGAAAAGGAAGGGACAGGAGGGAGAGGAGAGGGTGAGGCGTGCCGTGCGAGTTAGGAGCCGAAGCCCTACGGTAGGCCGTTGTCCACCAGTCACCACCGCTATTGCAACATGTGCAACACCTAATCTATTTTTGAAACATCTAGATGAAACATTTGCAACATACGTCTGTAGACTGATGAAACACTTGAAACATGCGTCTAAAACACTTGTAAAAACACATGAAAAAGTCATTGCAAAACATATGCAACATCCAGATATAACACTTGCAACATATTTGTGAAACACATGTAACATCCAAATAAATACATTTGCAACATATGTCTGAAAAACAGATAAAATATTTGGAACATACATTGCAACATGTGCAACATCCTGATCTACTTTTGCAACAATCAAATAAAACATCTGAAACACTGGAAATATACGCTTGCAACATGCGCTTTCAGCGCAATATAACCTTGCTAATTGGAGGAATGGAGACTCGTCGTTGCGGAGCTCGATGCCGACATGGAGGTCGACGGTAGCGCATGGAGCTCGCTGGTGCGGCAGCGGAGCGGGCAGCTCGCCAGCGGGACGGCGTCACACGCTCCTCCATCGGCTAGGGTAATGGCAGCGTCGGCAGCACCTTGACGCAGCGGGGGACGGGGCACATGGCACACAGCGTCAGGGGATGTGGGGCTGCACACAGGACGGGGACGGGGCACAGCGCGACGCGACGCGTGATGCGCGTGGCGGGGGGGAGGGGGGGCTTGAGGCAAGCGGACGGCGCGGTGAGCCGCGACAAGCGAAGTGAGTCGGGAGTTGGGGATATCTCGGCTGTCACAACGTACAGATGGAGAAGAGAGTGTAAATGGAGCAGGCACGTTAGCTGTTGGGCTCGGTCGCTGTGCAGGCTCGGAGATGGGGTGTTCAGACGGACACTCTCTGACGGGCGTCCTCACCGGAGCATTAGCTCCACTAAAAAAAAAACTAAAGCATTAGCGTGTTTTTTAAACACAGCAAGCGGCAGTTGAATTGAGTTACCTGGAAAATCGATAAAAAAAAAAGATCAATTGAAATTAACGAAGCAAGGAAAAAAACATGCGTACCGTACCGCCGATTTAATCAAGCAAGCAAGTGCGGTCAGAGTCAGCTTCCCTAAGGGCATGTACAACTCATAGACTGATCCATCTCTAAGTGCCTCGAATCTATCATACAGACAAGTATAAAGATCGGTCATACAACCCACAGACGGAGTTATGTCTCTAAGCTATTTAATACTCTGCATGTAGCTAAGATCAACTATAAATAAATATTTGTATAACATTATGTGGCTATTTGATAGAAAATGTATCAAGGATAAATAAGAGCAACATAATTACAATATTTTTTAAATCATCACAGCTAGGTTTAATGTGATAGAAGAATATTGCAATAGCCAAGAAAAAAACAATGATATATCATCTGCAGTGATCTTGGTTTAATATGATATTGCAATAGCCAAGAAGAAAACAATTTTGCTAATGCTTGACATATGATCCAAACATTGGTTTTCCTGATTTTCGCCTTAACTTATCAAGAACTAATCAGTAAAGATCACAGACTCGCACCAACTACGGCATGACAAAAGCAATTGACTACAGATTTATCAAAAACAAAGGAAGGAAGCCAGGAGCTGATCTTCTCGTTCATGTTGCCTGCGAGCTGGCGCGTATTGAACTGAGCCACTAGCGCATCTTCTTGTTCCTCGATCCCCCACTTCTTGCCCCCCGGCCCCGTCTCCACCAGTACAGTACACGATCCACGAGCTCCGCCAGCAGCCCAAAGACGACCTCCCTGAACATCTTGACGACGAACTCCAGCATCAGGGGCTGCAAGAGCTCCGCCTCATCCTCGAGCCCAGCAGCTCCCCCAGCCCGGCGTAGAGAGCGGTGTTGACTCATGTGGGGCGGCGGCGAGGGCACCCAATACCGACAAAGCGGACGGGACGCCGAGCACCGAGTCAAGGTGTGCAGCGGCGGCAAGTAAGTCGGTGCCGGCGGACGCCTTGAAGCAAGCTACCGAGCGTCGTCGAGGCACCGATCGAAGGAAGGCCCCAGCGGCGGCGAACAACGGGGAAGCAGCGAGATGGGAACGATTTTGGTGCGAGACTTCCCTCCGGCGCGCGGCCAAACTGAACCCCCCGCGCGCAGACGGGATCCGCACGCGGTCGAGTAGGGGATGCGATCCATACAACGCTGCCAGAGTCGGCGTTTCAGCCTCGGGCAACGGGACTTCCCCGTCGTCTCACGAGACGACGCCGACCCCATCTCCTCGTATCGATGGGTGCTTTTTGCGAAATATACATCGTAGAGACGGCTTCTGAAGACCCGTTGTACATGCCCTGATGAAGCTGGAACCTATCCTTTTATGATCCCATCCCAAATCCCATCCTCAACCCGATGCTTTTCCTCCATGGATTCCTCTCGTCCCTTTCTCACTCTTTAGCGTCGTCGATTGGATCAGCGAGCCATGGCTGTCATCGACGTCTCGTTCCTCGATGAATCTCCTCTCTTTTCCGCTCCATTAATATTGCCCACTTTCCCTCTCCTTCCTGCTGCTCGAGCTCCACAAAATGCAAGCACACGTTGGGCATACACACACCCACACCCAGCACTCGCAGCAATGCAGTAGCTAGACTAGTTAGTGATCAGGAAGGCAGAAGGAGACCAACTAAGCCGGCCAGGATGCTGGACTGGGCGCCGGTGGTGGTGGGCGTCGTGCTCTTCGTGCTGCTCTCGCCGGGCCTGCTCATCGAAGCCCCGCCTGCACATGGCCGGGCAGGCCTAGCCGGGTGTCGAGCTGTGCCCACGCACAGGGCCCAACCTCAAGTATGTAAGCTAGTTGGCAATACTCTGGTCCAATAGGAAATATATATATGGCCCATAGGAAATACCAGGCGTGTAAGAAAAGAGTCCGTCGATTTCCCTTCCGTCGCGGCCGCTCTCCTTCGTGGTTTTATTGCGGCGCGCCTTCGCATCTGCCGTTCGACGTCACCGTCGCCGATCGGCAGTGTGCACTGGCTACTCCGCTTGCTCGCTCCATAACTCCATTCCCAGCCAAGCGAGTACGACTATACGAGACGTCCTTGCGTCCAGACGTGTTTAGGTAAAGTGCCGTGCCCAATTGCCCCGGTTCCCTAAGCCCCTTTGTTGATTGTTTAATCAATATTTAATTTGCCTAATTGCCTTTGCCCCCTATCGTTATTCTTCAGAATATAAGACTCAGATCTAATTTGGGATTGGGGAATTCCTAACGGTGCAGAGCAGTGAATAATTATTATCCCTGTTCTCCACTTGTCTCTCGCCAAAAAAATACTTGGTAATTTACTAACACTCATTTTTATTTTAACGTTAAACTGAATCTAGTATTTCTAAATTTCCAGTGTACTCGTGTTGACAAAATGCACGCATTTATATATAAGTGAAAAAAGAAAAAATAGAGATGGATAGAATTTTTATGCATATTATTATAATTATAATGAAGCTTTGCTCCATGTCTACAAATTGACAGGACCGGGCCTGCCGCTGGGTCGACTTCGGCAGCCTCCGCGTCACCGGCAAGGCCACCGTCCACACCATCCTCTTCTTCGCCATCTTCCTCATCGTCACCATGGCGTGCAACCTCCACATCTACACCGGCGCCTAGCTAGCCGGCCGTACCTGTACGTATGTGGCCTGCCGCTAGCTGAGCTGCCTAGTGATAGTGATGATTACCGCTGAGCTGCCTAGTGATGATTACCGCACGCACCGTACCTCTCCATCGTCGTCAAGACGACGTCAACCCGTCATTTGTATTTCTACTCTCTCGTCTCAGATCACACGGTCGCCCGGCCAACGACGCCGCGTGGCTCTTCATGTGCTGTATGCCTGTTTTAACAAGGATGTACTTGTATACGTGGTCATGATGTACTAGCAGCGTCTTGAATCTTAATGCTTGAAAACCGGCAGTCGTGGATCTACTTTCCAATTTTCGTAGATTCACTTTAATTCATGAAACTTTTGTTAGAGATTCAGATTATTTCAGACTCGTACTCTCTTTCTCTCTCGGTCATAACTGGCAGCATGCATCGGCATTAGGCCTGGGCAAATTTAACTAAGAAGTGAAAACCGAACCGAAAGAATCGGAACTGAAACCAAAAGAACCAAAACCGAAAAATTCAATTCCTGGTTCGGTTCCTGATATCGAGGAACCGAAATAATCAAAAATTCGGTTTTTACTCTCGGTTAACCGAATTAACCGAAAGAACCGAATTACATGAATTATACCTCACTTACTTGTATTTTGTGAGATTAGGTTTAGTTTATGTGTAGTGTTTTATATTTGAACTGCTATATATTTGTTTTGCTATATTGCTATTGTTTTCTTATATATTATTATTATTAAAAATGAATATAGTGTTGCATAAATTTGTCTTAGAACATGTATATTTATTGTTCCTTGAGATCTTGTGAAAAGTTCAGTTAGTTAACTGGAACTGAACCGAAATAACCGAGAACTAAAATGCTTGGTTTCTAAAAAAAAATTTACCTATTGATTCTTATTTGCTAGAAACCAAATTTCATCGGTAACAAAGAAACCGAACCAAGAACCGAACTCTCGTACTGAATCGGCATTCTGCAATCACTGCATGCACACAGCACCGGACGCGCGCTGATATTTTGCTTCGCCCGGAAGACGAGCCGGTGCGGGGCCGCGTGCGCGCGCGTCCGCATACGGCGGCGCGGGGTACAGGCGTGTGCATGCGGGGGCGGCATGCCAGCAGCTGGCTCCACGACCAGCGAATTGTTGGAATTCAATTCGGATGTTGAGTTATTGGGCGGTTGACTTCCAAAATTTGTTATGTTAAAATTTAATAATCTAAAAGTTAGAAATTTAATAATCTAAAAGTTAGTTAACAAACAACCATAAATTTGGTAAGGTAAATGTAAGAGTTTGGCATATTTTGTTAATAAACCAAATGCTAGCTAAAATTATGGTTTAACTTTAGAAGGGAACCCATCGTACCCTAACAAACCTTCAGCTTTGCGTTTTTTTGCTCGGTGACCCGTCAGCTAACAGCCCTACCATAGTACAGTACTATTGCCTGCCCATCACTATTTGTAATTTATTAGCCCGATCAGGCAACTGCAAGCACCAATAATTGAAGCCCCCGGAGTTGGATTTGGAGCAGCAGCGTCTTCCTCCGATTTTTGGGAGCAAGGAGAAGAAACGTCTACAGTCCACTGGTAGGGGAAAAGGGAGGTTGGTGGACGGCTTTGTTCCCATTCGTTTCTTTCTCATGTCTGTCTATTGTTCTGCTTATTTCGTGCTTCAGATTGCAATTTCATTTAGATCGTTCTGGAATTTCAATTTCAAATTGGATTTGATGCGGTACGGGGCAGGGCAGTATAAAGTTTGGGGAAATTGGTTGAAATGCACAATAATCTTGAGCTTCTGTGTAAACGTCAAACGCTTGGTTCTTTGGCTTGGAATGTTCTGTTCAGGATGAAATCCTGAAAGTCACCACAAAATTTTATCCTAGAAATCTTTAATTTTTTTAAGGAAGCTGTATGACTGCATTAAACCAGCGACCCAGCTAAATCCCTGGCTACCGCATCAGGACTACATTCAGGAGCAGCAAACATTACAAAATCAACACCGCATCAGCTTTTCTAAGTGAAATCTGCTCTAAACTATGAAACTAGTTTTAGAAAAATATGTTAACATCCACAGGTTCAAATAAATGCACTCTCAGTTTTTTTTAATAAAATTTAGCTAAACTGAATTATAATTGCAGATGTTGACGCATTTTCTATAGATTTTGTTAAAGTTACTGAAACTTGACTTAGGACAAAGTTAAACTGAATTGTAATTTGGGAATGAAAGGAGAGACACAGGGAGTATTACCAAACACTGCCATTTCATGAGAAACACAATTACGGTCTCCTGGGACATGATGACTAGTTATTTTGCTGATGAAATCCTCCTGAAAAAGTCCCTTGACCTCATGTGCTGATGAAATGCTCCTGAATAAGTTCCTTGAACATCATTCTTGAGCTCATGTGTAAGACCGCCTGTTTCACTTGAAAAGCACCAGTCTCAAGGACGATGTTCCCAATTCCTCTGTCTGATTGCGCCTTTGCTCCTTTCAGACTTGCAATGGCTTCTGCACCCATGCATAATTCTGTAGTTAGTACAAGGGTCTCTGGTCATTGACACTGTAAAAATTTTCTCATGTTGTGACTGTGAGTAATGTTTTGGGGTCTTTCAGGTCATGGAGAATTCAGATGCCATGGCAGTTCGCCATGTTAGATGTCCAAAGTGCCACAGTGTTCTTGAGGAACCCCGTGCCCGTGTCTACCAATGTGGTGGATGCGGCACTAGTCTTCGAGGTAATTTCAGGTTTTAATTCTTCTTTTTCCTGCTACCATTTCTGATTTATATGTTTTGTCACTGTTAGATTTCTGATGGACTCTCTTGTGCTTGTACAGCAAAAATCCACTCTGGCAGCACAGAAGAAGTGACCAATATGTTTTCCCCTTCAAGGAGTGGATTGCGTCCTCAGAGCAGACATTATACTCCCTATAAGGATGCAATGGCATGGTTAGCCATGGGAAAACAAAGACGGAAAGGACTAAACCATAGATTAATGCAGCAGGTATTCATATTTTTCAACTAGCAGGTTCGCCACTACAATAATTTTAGTACCCGTCCTCCTTTTTGTCGATTGCCTTGATTTATCCCTTCACTATTTTAGGCTGGTCATAAACTCCTTGGCAGAGATGAAATTAGGCAAAACATTATGGAAAAGATATTGTTGGATAGAGATGATGGAAGTAATTGTACAGTCTTTTGCATAAATGGTGGAAGTGGTTTTGGCAAGACTTCACTGCTCAATGTCCTTTACAATGACCAAGAATTGTTGTATGCTTTTGACAAAATGATATGGATACAGATGTCTGATAAATTAGACATACTGATTATTTAGGAAGATTATTGAGTTCGTCATGAATGACCACTGCAGCATTATGAGCACGGACCTCCTCCAGGAACTGCTTATGGAGGAAATCACAGATGAGAAATTCTTGCTTATCTTGGACGATGCAGACATAGAAGACCAACAATTTTGGAATAGCATATTAGAAGTTCTTAATGCTGGTGCCAGAGGCAGTGTCGTTATCATGGCTACAAAGAGTTGTGCTGTTGCTACTCCTAGAGATGTAACATATGTTCATTTCTTGAATCCTTTATCTGAAGAAAACAAACTGACGATTTTCCAACAATATTCTGGTGTGGGAACTGATATCCAGAACAATCCTGATTTAGTGATGGTTGCTAAGAGGTTCATTTCCAGGTTTGGATCTAATCCTCTAAACTTGAAGGCCATCGGTGGTCTTCTGTGCCATGCAGACACTATTTCATTAGAGAAGGATATGTTTGAAGAAAGTGTTATGCCTTTGCAGCTCTGTCATGATGCTTTACCAGTCCATCTGAAACGGTGTCTTGCATTATGTTCGTTGTTCCCAGAAGGTTACATCTTTGATAAACATCACATGGTTCTCCTGTGGATATCTCATGGTTGTGTTAGGCCAGTTGAAGGGCGTGAACCTGAAGATGTAGGAACTGAATATTTCAATGAGTTGCTGTGCAGATCGTTCTTTCAGTACTCACCATCTCATGATTATAAAGATAACAAGTTTGTGATGCATGAGCTTATTTACAATGTGGTGGCATCCGTCTCCCGTGACAAATATTTCAAGTCCGAGGATCCCATGTGCGGCATACCTGAAAATGTTCTTCACTGCTCTCTCATTTCCTCGCAATTTCAGACTGTTGAACTGATGCACAGGACAGAACAGTTGAAGGATCTGCAGACATTTCTGGCTTTGCAACCTGAGTGGAAACCGAACAGCATTTCTTTGCCTACCTTAAATCTTGTTGGTTTGGATGATTTCTTTCTGAGATTCACATCCTTTGAGATACTGGATCTGAGCCATACTGAAACAGAAGAGCTTCCAGGATCCATTGCTGGCCTGAGAAACCTGCGGTACTTATCTGTCAACAACACAAACGTCAGGCTCTTCCATCTGAGCTCTGCAGCCTCAGCAATCTGCAGACACTGGAAGCAAAACACTGCTGCTCCCTCACCGAGCTACCTAGCGACATGAGGAAGCTAGTAAAGCTGCGACATCTTGATCTGACGAAGCAACTGGGCTATGTTCACATGCCACGTGGAATTGGAGAGCTCACTGAACTCCAGACATTGCCAGTCTTCCATGTCAGTGGAGACTCGTCACATTGCTCCATCAGTGAGCTTGGAAGCCTGCAATCTTTGAGGGGTTGCCTTTGGCTTTCAGGACTCCATCAGTGTAAAAACTGGCAGCAAGGCCAGGAGGCTAACCTGAAGGACAAGCATCGCCTAAAGGACTTGACACTGCAATGGCACGACGATGGCATAGAGATCGAAGATGAAGACGAAGATGCAGAAGATGTGGCCGATGAGCAGGTCCTTGAAGGCCTCCAGCCGCATGCAAACCTCCAAGTGCTCACCATCAGAGGCTACGAAGGCAGCAGGTTTCCAGCTTGGATGCAGGGTTCTTCTTCATCCCTACCCAACCTGGTGACACTGACACTCGACAGCTGCTACAACTGCACCGTGTTCCCCGCCATCGCCCATCTGCCATCGCTCAAGTCCCTGAGCGTGCGAAAGATGTACGACGTGCGACGGCTGAGCAGCAACACAGACACACATGGCACTGGCAGCGCGGCCAAGTTCCTGTCGCTGGAGCTGCTGAACCTGTGGGAGATGTACGGTTTTGAGGAGCTGTTCGAGGAAGAATCTGAAGGGGACTACTGCCCTCGCCTCCGCAAGGTCTGCATCAGCCGGTGCCCGGACCTGAAGAGGCTGCCCCGCGCTCGTTCTCTGACGGAGCTGGTTCTCCACTGCGGCCACCAGGTCCCTGACATCTCGGAGCTCGCGTCGTTGGTGTCACTGAAGATCGAAGGCTTCCACGGCGTCAGGTCGTTCGCCTTGCCGGCAGCTGCGGCGCTGAAGAGGCTGGAGATCAGGTCTTGCAAGGAGCTGGCGTCGGTGGACGGGCTGTCGGCGGCGCTGACCACCGTCCGGAGGATTAAGATAGCAGGGTGCCCCAAGCTCGTCTTGCCAGGAACCTGTAGCCTGACGACCTAAACATCCGCAGATTAGAAACATTTTTGCTAGTGCTTGTTTGTGTTTTCTTATATGGATTTATGCTACATGTGGAAATTTTCTGGCACTGGTCGTTAGCAAATAATGTGACAAATAAAGTTGTTCCTGTCAACACAAACAGCTCTCTGGTTCAGCCTGGGTCCATCCGGTTTTCAGTTGGATATGCAAGGCTTCCTGTCAACACAAACACAAAGTGTTCTTTCGGTTATTGGCTCGCTTCCTGTCAACACAAACACAAAGTGTTCTTTCCGTTATTGGCTCATGACAGACTTAGGGCTCCGAGCTTCTAAAGTTTTAGTTTCTAAAAGTTTTAGGCACAAAACCTCTAAAAGAGTGTTTGATTGTCCCACTAAAAATAAATGTTAAATCTCACTTTTTTCAAGGCAAATTTAGTGGAAAGTTTTTTAGAAAGGTGGAGCTCCTAAAGAAAAACCAAATTACGCAAATACATTTGCCAACTCACATTCTATCTAATTTTGACCTAAAGCTATAGGAGGGTAACCAAACAGGGCCTTAGTACACGAAACATCCTGCTGTCCCACAAAATATGTAAATCTCACTTTTCAAGGCAAATTTATTGGAAAGTGTGAAATTACGCATATACATTTGCCAACTCACATACTAATTTTGACATATAAGCCATGTTCGCTTCTCTTATAATTCGTACGTTTCAGCTTGTTTTTTTAGTCGGAACAGTATTTTCTCTCACAACAAATCAGCCGGAACAATGTTTCAGCTTGTTTTTTCAGCGAAGTGAACGGGGCCATAGTCAGAATGCTTCATTTCTCTTAATTACTTGCAGGGGAAATACAATTGATTTCTCACTCTCAGGACAAAGGGCTCTTGAATTCGATGCTGAGGCGGTCTTTGATATTGGTCAAAATCATCACGTCATAGCAATATTTGTGGGCACACTCATGAAAATATATCGGGAAGACTACAAATTTATCGTGGAACTTCAGCATGTCGGTGGTATATGATATACCAGCAATGAGAACATTTCAAAGAGGGTATTATTTTAATTCTTAATTTAAATACAAACACATATATCTTATCCCTATACTCATGTTTCGTTAATTATTATAACTTCCCAACAGACTGCCATATCAGGTGACACCAGTTCGAAAACTAGAACTCCAAAGTGAAGACTACATGGAGCAAGGTGTCGAAGAAAAAACTCTGTTTGACCTCAAACAGATAGATCCTTTGACTGACAAGGTAAAAGCACAACTCCTTGTTATATAGAAATAACAATTGCTTCAGTCTCTGTACATTGCCACGGCGGGCCAGCCTTGCGTCCCTCGCCGCCTCCATCGCTCCTCCCCGATGCCGGCGGCCACGCCCACATCGCCAAGGACTCCTCGCCCACCACCGCCGCTCCCCGCAGCAGGCGAAGTGTCCGCCGCCGCCACCACTGATGCGTTGCGGAACAGCTGGAGATCGTCGGCCTCCTCCCCGACACCGGCGCGGACGCCTCCCCCACCCCCTCCGCTCCCCGCAGCCGGCGGAGTGTCCGCGGCCGCCTCCAGCGCAGCGGAACAGCCGTAGGTCGTTGCCCCCCCCCCGCCCTGATGCCGGCGCCCACGCCCACGACGCCTGGACTCCTCCCCCACCGCCGCCACTCCCCGCAGCAGGCGAAGTGTCCGCAGCCACCTCCAGCGCTGCGTTGCGGAACAGCTGGAGGTCGCCAGCGTCCTCGCCGACACCGGCGCCGATGCCCACGACACACACGATGGCTCCCCCACCCCCGCCGCTCCCCGCAGCCGGCGGAGTATCCGCGGCCGCCTCCAGCACAGCTCATCGGAACAGCCGTAGGTCGTTGCCCTCCTCCTCCCCGACGCCGGCTGCCACGCTCACAAGTCACGACACACTGTACGGCTCCACCACTCCCGCCGCTTCCCGCTGCCAGCACGCCCGCGCGCATTCGCGATTCTCCGCCAGGAACGCCATCGCCAGCTCCGTCGAAATATGGGCAGATTGTTCAAAAGGTCGGCTTCCCAGCTCGGTTCAAGGTACTGCTATTCGGCTGCCAAGTCAGATTGGGCAACTTTCATTCATCATAGCAAAATATAGAGTTATAGACTCGTGGCCGGCCTCCTGCAAGCCCCAGCCACCCAGACCAGCAGCAAGCCACGGTTGTGTGAACAAAAACAGTTAGGAAACAGAAAGCAACGAACAGATGGTGCGTGAAGGGTTAAAACATCAATTACCATTATACCCTCTATAATAAAAATTACATTTTACAAATAATATTTATCAATTAATTAATTGGCTAAAAACTAGGGAAAAAATGAAAGTAGCTGAAAGTACCCAAGTACTTTCCCAACCAATGTAAAAGAGCTCAATTTTATCCTAGGATTCTTTAATTCTTTTTAAGGAAGCTGTATGACTTCATTAACATGCGACCCAGCTAAATCCCTGGCCACCACATCAAGACTACATTGAGAGCACTGAGCACCAAACATTATAAAATCAACATCACACCAGTTTCTCTATGTCAATCTCTGCTCTAAACTATGATATAATTTTTAGAGGAAACATATTAACATCCACAGGTTCAAATAAATGCACCTGCACTATCAGTACATTTTAGTGAAATTAAATTAAACAAAGTTAATATTGTAGATGTTAATGCATTTTTCTATAAATGTTTTGTTAAAGTCAGTGAAGTTTGACTTAGGACCAAACTAAAGTGACCTATAATTTGTAAATGAAATGAGGATTAGAGGGAGTACTACTAACCGTTACATGAGCAACACAATTACAGCCTCTTGTGACATGACTGATTATTTTGCTGATGAAATCCTCCTGAATAAGTTCCTTGAACATCATCCTTGAGTTCATGTGCAAGACCGCCTGTTTCACTTGAAAAGCATCAGTCTCAAGGTGATGATGTTCACAGTTCCTCCATCTGATTGCACCTTTGCTCCTTTCAGTGACGCAATGACTTCTGCACCCATGCAGAATTCTGTAGGTACAAGCGTCTCTTTTCATTTACACCGTAAATATTTACTCATGCTGTAAGTAATGTTCAGGGGCCTTTCGGCTCATGGAAAAATCAGATGCCATAGCAGTTCGCCATGTTAGATGTCCAAAGTGCCACGGTGTTCTTGAGGAACCCCGTGCCCGTGTCTACCAATGTGGTGGATGCGGCACTAGTCTTTGAGGTAATTTCAGGTTTTAATTCTTCTTTTTCCTGCTACCATTTCTGATTTATATGTTTTGTCACTGTTAGATTTCTGATGGACTCTCTTGTGCTTGTACAGCAAAAATCCACTCCGGCAGCACAGAAGAAGTGACCAATATCTTTTCCCCTTCATCAACTGGATTGCGTCCTCAGAGCAGACACTACCGTCGGCCAATCCTGAAAGGCACGCCGTTCATTGTTTGCTCCAGATGCATCCAGCTGGTCCAGGTGCCCAAACTGCGGTGTGAATCCTGTTATGCTGTCCTTTCCTACTCCAAGGATTCGGTCAGGAAGAAACTTTACCAGGACTCCATTGATCAGCTCAGCATAGACAGTCCCGAACTGCAGGTGGATGCAGCACTAGTCTTCGAGGTTCCCGAGGAATCCGGTGCCCCAGTATACCAGGTCAGTGGACGCAGCACTACTGTGAGATATCGAAGGTGCCACAGTGAACTGGATGCCCAAGTCTACCAGGACAGTGGATGCGGCACAAATCTTCGAGGTAATTTCAGGTTTTACTCATGTTCCTATTGCTAGCATTTGGATGCTTGGTGTCTTTGGTCACTGTTAGATTCCTAATGGATTCTCTTGGCCTTGCACAGTGAAAACCCGCACTGGCAGCACAGGAGAAGTGGCCAATGCTTCTTCTCCAAGGAGTGGACTGCCTCCTCAGAGCAGACACTACTGTCAGCCGATCCTGAAGGGTGCGCCGTTCATTGTCTTCTGCAGCTGCTTCAAGCTACTCCAAGTACCCATCGATTTCGTCGTCTCCACCAATGCAGTGGGCAAACTGCGGTGTGGCTCCTGTTCTTCTGTCCTCAGCTACTCCGACAGGGCCCTGGCCAGGAAGAAACCTTACCAGGACTCTGTTGATCAGCTCAGTACAAACAGTTCCAAACTGCAGGTGGATGCAGCACTAGGCTTCAATAATCTTATTGGAGGGGCCACATGTTGTGAATCTTATTCTAAGATAAGCATCTAGTAAGAATAGGTTAATGAGTGCAAGTTTAAATGTAACTACATCTAAATACAAAATCCCTTTTTTTCAACAAGTTACTGGATGAACTGCAAGCACTGTTATGCAGAACAACTATTAGAATGAAATTTGATTTGCTTTTAATCTAAAATTATACTTATGTCAAATTTGCAATACAAATGTAGTTAATGTCTATCACAAATCAGACTCAACTATTACCTAATGTACACAGGTGGAGGAGCCACATTATACTCCCTATACGGATGCAATGGCATGGTTAGCCATGGGAAAACAAAGACGGAAAGGACTAAACCATAGATTAATGCAGCAGGTATTCATATTTTTCAACTAGCACGTTCGCCACTACAATAATTTTAGTACCCGTCCTCCTTTTTGTCGATTGCCTTGATTTATCCCTTCACTATTTTAGGCTGGTCATAAGCTCCATGGCAGAGATGAAATTAGGCAAAACATTATGGAAAAGATATTGTTGGATAGAAATGATGGAAGTAATTGTACAGTCTTTTGCATAAATGGTGGAAGTGGTTTTGGCAAGACTTCACTGCTCAATGTCCTTTACAATGACCAAGAATTGTTGTATGCTTTTGACAAAATGATATGGATACAGATGTCTGATAAATTAGACATACTGATGTTATTTAGGAAGATTATTGAGTTCGTCATGAATGACCACTGCAGCATTATGAGCACGGACCTCCTCCAGGAACTGCTTATGGAGGAAATCACAGATGAGAAATTCTTGCTTATCTTGGACGATGCAGACATAGAAGACCAACAATTTTGGAATAGCATATTAGAAGTTCTTAATGCTGGTGCCAGAGGCAGTGTCGTTATCATGGCTACAAAGAGTTGTGCTGTTGCTACTCCTAGAGATGTAACATATGTTCATTTCTTGAATCCTTTTACAACAACAACAACAACAAAGCATTTAAGTCCCAAACAAGTTGGGATAGGCTAGAGTTGAAACCCATCAGAAGCAATCAAGGTTCAGGCACCCAACAACAACAACAACAAAGCCTTTAAGTCCCAAACAAGTTGGGATAAGCTAGAGTTGAAACCCATCAGAAGCAATCAAGGTTCAGGCACGTGAATAGCTGTCTTCCAAGCACTCCTATCTAAGGCTAAGTCTTTGGGTATATTCCATCCTTTCAAGTCTCCTTTTATTGCCTCTACCCAAGTCAACTTCGGTCTTCCTCTGCCTCTCTTCACGTTACTATCCTGGCTTAGTATGCCACTACGCACCGGTGCCTCTGGGGGTCTCCGTTGCACATGTCCAAACCATCTCAACCGGTGTTGGACAAGCTTTTCTTCAATTGGCGCTACCCCTAATCTATCACGTATATCATCGTTCGAACTCGATCCCTTCTTGTATGACCGCAAATCCAACGCAACATACGCATTTTCGCGACACTTAGTCATTGAACATGTCGTCTTTTCGTGAGGCCAACATTCTCGCACCATACAACATAGCAGGTCTAATCGTCGCCCTATAAAACTTGCCTTTTTAGCTTCGTGGTACCCTTTTGTCACATAGGACACCGGGACGCTTGCCGCCACTTCATCCAATTCGCTTTGATTCTATGGCTAACATCTTCATCAATATCCCCGTCCCTCTATAGCATTGATCCTAAATATAGAAAGGTATCCTTCCTAGGCACTACTTGACCTTCCAAACTAACATCTTCCTCCTCCCGAGTAGTAGTGCCAAGTCACATCTCATATACTCGCTTTTAGTTCTCATTGAGTCTAAAACCTTTGGACTCCAAAGTCTCTCCGCCATAACTCCAGTTTTCGATTCACTCCGTCCGGCTTTCATCAACTAGCACTACATCATCGTCATGAAAAGCATACACCAAGGATGTCCCCTTGTATGTCCCTTGTGACCTCATCCATCACTAAAGCAAACAAATAAGGGTTCAAAGTCGACCCTTGATGTAGTCCTATCCTAATCGGGAAGTCATCCGTGTCTCCATCACTTGTTCGAACTCTAGTCACAACATTGTTGTACATGTCCTTAATGAGCCCGCGACGTGCCGTTGGGACTTTATGTTTGTCCAAAGCCCACCACATAACATTCCTTGGTATTTTATCATAAGCCTTCTCCAAGTCAATAAAAACCATGTGTATGTCCTTCTTCTTCTTCCTATACCGCTCCATAACTTGTCTTATTAAGAAAATGGCTTCCATGGTTGACCTTCCTCATGAAACCAAATTGGTTCACAGAGACCCGCGTTATTGCTCTCAAGCGATGCTCGATAACTCTCTCCCATAGCTTCATAGTATGGCTCATCAACTTAATTCCCCGATAATTAGTACAACTTTGAATATCCCCTTTATTCTTGTAGATCGGTACCAATATAATTCTCCTCCACTCATCAGGCATCTTGTTCGATCAAAAAATATGGTTGAACAGCTTGGTTAGCCATACTATAGCTATGTCCCCGAGGCATCTCCACACCTCGATTGGGATACCATCTGGTCCCATCGCCTTACCTCCTTTCATCCTTTTCAACGCCTCTCTGACCTCAGATTCTTGGATTCTCCGCACAAAGCGCCTATTAGTGTCATCAAAAGAGTCATCCAACTGAAAGGTTGTGTCCATATTCTCACCATTGAACAATTTATCAAAATACTCTTGCCATCGATGTTGGATCTCATCCTCCTTCACCAAGAGATGCTCCCTTTCATCCTTAATGCACTTAACTTGGTTGAAGTCCCGTGTCTTTCTCTCACGAACCCTAGCCATCCTATAAATATCCTTCTCTCCTTCCTTCGTACTCAAATGTTGGTAAAGATCCTCGTACGCTCTACCCTTTGCCACACTTACAGCTCACTTTGCAGTCTTTTTTGCCACCTTGTACTTCTCTATGTTGTCCACACTCCTATCATGGTACAAGCGTCTATAGCATTCTTTCTTCTCCTTAATAGCCCTTTGGACTTCCTCGTTCCACCACCAAGTATCTTTAGCCTCGCCTCCACTTCCTTTGGTTACTCCACACCTCTGAGAGGCCACCTTCCGAATGTTGGTTGCCATCTTCTCCCACATGTTGTTTATGTCGTCTTCTTCCTTCCAAGAGCCCTCTTTGATAACCTTTTCCCTAAATACCTCGACGTCTCCCCTTTCAGTTTCCACCACTTTGTTCTTTAAATCTTATCTTGTTTATCTCAGGCACGCTTTTGAAAACAAAAATCTGCCACCAAAAGCTTATGTTGAGAAACAACACACTCTCCTGGTATCACCTTGCAATCCAAGCATGCTCGTTTGTCCTTTCTTCTTGCGAGGACAAAGTCAATCTGCTCTGAGTGTTGTCCGCCATCTTGAAGGTCACTAGATGAGATTTCTCTTTCTAAAGAAAGTGTTGGCTATCATCAGGTCAAAAGCTACCGCGAAGTCCAGAACTTTCTCCCCCTCCTGATTCCTACTACCATACCCAAAACCTCCATGAACTGCCTCGAAACCTGCACTTGTAGTACCTACATGCCCATTAAGATCTCCTCCTATAAAAAGCTTCTCACTACTAGGTATAGCTCTAACCAGGCCATCTAAGTCTTCCCAGAACTGTTTCTTAGCACTCTCGTCGAGGCCTACTTGGGGGGCATACGCACTAATTACGTTCAAGACCATATCACCAACGACAAGCTTGACTAAGATAATCCTATCTCCTTGCCTTCTCACTCCCACCACACCATTCTTGAGGCTCTTATCAATCAAAACTCCTACTCCATTTCTATTCGCGACTGTCCCTGTGTACCAAAGCTTGAAACCTGTATTTTCCACCTCCTTCGCCTTCTGACCCTTCCATTTAGTCTCTTGAACGCATAATATATTTACACGCCTCCTAGTCGCGGTATCAACTAATTCTCTTAACTTACCTGTAAGTGACCCTACATTCCAACTACCTAAACGGATCCTAATTGGTTCGACTAGCTTCCTTACCCTTCGCACCCGTCGACTCAGATGCGAAGACCCTTGCTCATTTTTCACTACACCCGGGCGCCGATGTAGCGCGCCACTAAGGAAGCGACGACCCGATCCTTGCTCACTTGACACCATGCCCAGATCACGACACGGCGCGTCACGGGGGTGACGACCCGGCCCTTGCCCATTTAACACCATACCCGGGTTCCGATATGGCGCGTCGCTAAGAGGGTTACGCCCCAACGATTTTCTTTCGGGTTTCATCTCCATTAAAGTGGCTAAGTTTTTACATTGGCTCGCCACGCCTAACACAACCCTCCTCCTTTACCAGGGCTTGGGACCTGCTATGCTGGGACACCAAAGGCGCCCCACCATAGGTGGAGTTATTTCTTGAATCCTTTATCTGAAGAAAACAAACTGACGATTTTCCAACAATATTCTGGTGTGGGAACTGATATCCAGAACAATCCTGATTTAGTGATGGTTGCTAAGAGGTTCATTTCCAGGTTTGGATCTAATCCTCTAAACTTGAAGGCCATCGGTGGTCTTCTGTGCCATGCAGACACTATTTCATTAGAGAAGGATATGTTTGAAGAAAGTGTTATGCCTTTGCAGCTCTGTCATGATGCTTTACCAGTCCATCTGAAACGGTGTCTTGCATTTTGTTCGTTGTTCCCAGAAGGTTACATCTTTGATAAACATCACATGGTTCTCCTGTGGATATCTCATGGTTGTGTTAGGCCAGTTGAAGGGCGTGAACCTGAAGATGTAGGAACTGAATATTTCAATGAGTTGCTGTGCAGATCGTTCTTTCAGTACTCACCATCTCATGATTATAAAGATAACAAGTTTGTGATGCATGAGCTTATTTACAATGTGGTGGCATCCGTCTCCCGTGACAAATATTTCAAGTCCGAGGATCCCATGTGCGGCATACCTGAAAATGTTCTTCACTGCTCTCTCATTTCCTCGCAATTTCAGACTGTGGAACTGATGCACAGGACAGAACAGTTGAAGGATCTGCAGACATTTCTGGCTTTGCTACCTGAGTGGAAACTGAACAGCATTTCTTTGCCTACCTTAAATCTTGTTGGTTTGGATGTTTTTTTATGATATTCACATCCTTTGAGATACTGGATCTGAGCCATACTGAAACAAAAGAGTTTCCAGGATCCATTGCTGGCCTGAGAAACCTGCGGTACTTATCTGTCAACAACACAAACGTCCGGGCTCTTCCATCTGAGCTCTGCAGCCTCAGCAATCTGCAGACACTTGAAGCAAAACACTGCCGCTTCCTCACTGAGCTACCTAGAGACATGAGGAAGCTAGTAAAGCTGCGACATCTTGATCTGACGAAGCAACTGGGCTATATTCACATGCCACATGGAATTGGAGATCTCACTGAACTCCAGACATTGCCAGTCTTCCATGTCAGTGGTGACTCGTCACATTGCTCCATCAGTGAGCTTGGAAGCCTGCAATATTTGAGGGGTTGCCTTTGGCTTTCGGGACTTGGAAGTGTGAAAACTAGCAGCAAGGCCCAGGAGGCGAACCTGAAGGATAAGCATCACCTAAATGACTTGACACTGCAATGGCACGGTGATGGCATGCACATCGAAGATGAAGGTGAAGATGAAGACAAAGACACAGAAGATGTGGCTGATGAGCAGGTCCTTGAAAGCCTCCAGCCGCATGCCAACCTCCAAGTGCTCACCATCAGAGGCTATAAAGGTGTTAGGATTGATCTCCACCAACTTGGCCCAACGGCCAATTGGGCCCTTGATCCACGCCCTGATCAGGGGCGTCCAGCCGTTCTTCTGGCTTATGGCCCCCCGTCGCGCAGCGCAATAAATAGGAAGTGGGGGCTGGGCTCGAGACACGAGGTTCATCGCAGTCACCAGCCCCATTGAGGTTCATAGCCATAGTCCGATCTAGAAGGGCGCGCTGTGAGCGACGGGAAGTACCACCGCCCTCGTCGCCGCCACTAGACAGCTCCTCCACGTCGCTGTTACATCTATGGCGGCGCTATGGCCGTGACTGTGAGGTACATCATCAAGGTTTTGTCTAAGTTAAGTAATTACCCACTGATCTATGCACTAAGAGGTCCTTCAATTCTATCAATGGTATCAGAGCAAAGATTCTAGGGTGTAGATCTAGATCGGGGTAGTAGAGTGAAAAAGAATTAGAAAGAGAATCGGCCCTAACCCTAACCCTAGAATAGGAAGGGACAGAGAGGGGAGGAACCTGATTTTCCTCGCCAACGTCAACATCGCCGTAGCGTGGGAAGAAGCTCCCGTTGTCGCTGCCTCACCGACTGTGGGGGGTACGTCCCCAGATATCCACGGCAGACCACATGGGTTGCGCCCCCAGGGGCGGCCCAGCCCACAAGACGAAGCCTTGCGGGGCACGGCGCTGCTCGGCGCGTCCCGCAAGACAACGGGAAGATATTCTGAAGATACTACGAGATCTGTTAGGATACGTATGATCCCATGATTCTTGTAATCTGTTATTACTTTTCGGTTATCTCCTAGATCTAACCGACTTGTAACCCTGCCCCCTGGATTATATAAGGCGGGTAGGGACCCCCTCCAAACACACGCAATATCATATGATAGCCAATACAATCCAACAGAACACAGGAGCAGGGTATTACATCGTGCTGACGGTCCGAACCTATCTAACTCGTGTCTCTGTTGCCTTCTTGTTCTCGATTACACGCATCTCTGCCGATCAATCTACCTTTGTGGGATACCCCTCGGAGGACTGCCGACGATATTCTTTTGACAGTTGGCGCGCCAGGTAGGGGCGTGCGTGCTGTTTCCATGTCGAACAAGATGGTACGTTTTGCAGGCTCTTCGTCCCTCCCACAGCCCGGCCAGATCTTCACGGTCGGATCGATCTCGTGGATCATCAATACTGACGGAGTCGGAGAGCTCATCGAGCCGGTGCAGATCAATACTGCGTCGATCACTGCAACACCTGCGACTGTAGATCCGATCTCAGAACCACCTCCGAGGTCATTTTCGTCGACAATTCGTCGCTCGCTCCCCCGCTACCCAAGGAGGCAAATCAACAACGACGATCTGATCGCATCCATCGATCAGGTTGGCCAGAAGCTCGCCGATTGCCTCTCCATCGTAGAATCAGCTTTGACCACTCTGGTCTAGCGCCGACCACCCTCCGATTCAGATCTATCGGAGGTGGATCAGGAAACTCCGGGGGTTATGGCCCTACCCTTCGGGCTCACCGGCATCACCGCTACCTACCAAGATGCCCTAAGGGGCAAATTCGCCGACCAGGTTGGAGATGTCCATCCTCTCGCTGACCAGCTCACGTCGGCTGTCAACATGCTACACGTCGGCCGACGCCCCGGAGCATCTCTCCAAACTATCCTAGAGGAGAATCCAGACTCCGAGTCCCAAGGCTCTACAGAGACTGTCGCCGAAACCGTCGCCGAACAACCTCCTTTCCCTCCCTTCCGTGTAGGCGCAATCTTCAACGTCAACGTCGATAGCCCCCGCGGGAAGGGGAGACCGAGGAGGACCGCGCTGCCCGCGTCAACAGGAACGTCAACCGTGCGCAGCGCCGAACAAACGAGGCTACCCTTGTGCTAGCCGAGGCTCAGCTCGACTCGCAAGGAAGGCCACACCAACTCCAATGCAACCTCAACGACGAATTTGTCCGTGTTGACAGCCACGACGTCTACAAGATCCCAAGCACCAACTTGGCCGTGGCCGCCAACGAACTCGCTCGGCTCCCACAAACACCAGAGGTCACCAAGGTCATCGCCATGCTTAAAGCGGCGCACTGCCTGGTCAACGAGATCCGCCAGGATCAGAGACCTTCCTACTCGACGAGCTCGATTCGCCGAGCAGCCACGCCGAGATCTAATCGCCGCCCCAGCCAAAGTCGTTTCGCCGACCAGCACCTCGACGATGGACAACCCCTCCAGGGGGAGTTAGGGGCAACCGCCTCGAACACCCTGGCCAATACGACTAGGAAGTCGAACAAGACGTCCGAGCACACCTTAACAATCTTCGAGACGCGCGATGACATATCGACGAGCGCCATTTCGGTCGTCATGAAGAAGTACGCCGCCGTCAAGAGTACGAGCAAGAGTTCGGTAATCCGGACTCAACCCTCCAGCCGCTCAACGTCGGCAAGGCCGACGGTGACGACCCCGAAGGGCCCAAAGCATTCACAAAGGGCACTCCGGACACTCCAGTGGCCTCGTGGTTTCAAAATCATTGGGGTCGAGCCCTACGAAGGACGCCTGAACCCCACACAGTGACTACAAGCTTATGCCACTGTTGTGCGCCGCCGGGGGAGATACTAGCGTCATGGCAAATTATCTTCCCGTCATACTCACACCAACTGCGATGATCTAGTTCACAAGTCTCGCCCTAGATTCCATCGGATCCTGGGAAGAGCTCAAGAAGGTCTTCACCGACAACTACATGGCTACGTGTTCACGGCCGAGCACTAAGCATGATCTGAACCGCATCTAACAGAAGCCGTCCGAGCTCCTTCATAGCTACATTAGACGCTTTTCTGAGATGAGGAATTCAATTCCCAACATCACGGAAGTAGAGGTCATCACCGCCTTCGTTCGAGGACTCCATCACCACGACCTTCGCTTCAAGTTCAATCGCAAGCCGCCTAAAGGGATTGGCGAGATGATTACAACCGCCGACTAGTATGCCGACGCCGAAGAGGCCAAAGTACGCTTCAACGAGGATGCGGGCATTCATCGCCCAACTCGCCGCAGCGACGAGCGACCCGACGACCAGCGCCACCGCGACCGCCGCTACGACGACCGTAGTCACCATCGGGATAGTGTCCGTGATCGGCCAGAAGGATCCAAATCTAGTCAATATCTCCGACCAGACCACATCGTCGCCGTTGTTGAGGAACCTCGCGCCAAGCGCAACTATGACGAGCAGTACAAGAAGATCCTCGAAGGCCCATGCCCTCTCCACAAAAATGCCAAGCATAAGATGAAGGACTGCCTCGGCTTGGCTAAGGAGTTCCAAGATAAAAAGCCAGACGACGACAATAACGACGGAGCCGGAGGCCGCCGACCACCTGGGGGCAACAACGATGCCTTCAAGGATCATGATAAAGTGGTCGCCACCATCTTCGGGGGCCTCGCCACCGCCGAGAGCAGAAGAGATCGAAAGCTCACCGCTCGCCGGGTGCTCACCGTCAACGAGGAAGACGCTGTCGCTAACCCCAGCTATCGCCCCTGGTCTGAGGTCCCCATCACCTTTAGTAGGGCCAACCAGTGGGCAGACATCCCTTACACAGGGTGTTTCCCCCTCGTCCTTGATGCAACCGTCCAGAAAATGCTTTTTAGAAAAGTGCTCGTCGACGGTGGGAGCGCTCTGAACCTCCTCTTCGCCGGAGCCCTAAAGGAGCTGGGGCTTGGGAGAGATCTCACACCCTCCGACTCCTCCTTCTGGGGTGTGGTACCTGGCAGGGCATCCAAACCGCTTGGAGAGATCACCCTATCAGTACAGTTCGACACGGCTAGCAACTACCACATCGAACACATCAACTTCTACGTCGTTGACTTCAACATCGCTTACCACGCCATACTTGGTCAGGCAGCTCTGGCCAAGTTCATGGTCGTACCGCACTACACCTATCTGGTGCTAAAGATGCCTTCGCCTGCAGGAGTTCTAGCCCTACGGGCCAACCTCTCCATCGCCACGCATACAAGATAGAAAGTCTCGCCCTCACCGAAGCCACCGACCTCTCCATCCAGATGGCTAGCGTGGTCACCGACGCCAAGACAGTGCCCGCCAACAACCTAGAGATCCCAGCATTGGAGCCTCCGCGTGCCTCTGCCAAGTCCCAGGAAACAAAGGAGGTCGGCCTCGGCCTCGATGACCTCTCCAAGACCGTCAAGATTGGGGCTCACCTTGACCCCAAATAGGAAAGTGTGCTCGTCTCTTTCCTACATGCCAACACCGACGTGTTTGCTTAGAAACATGCCGACATGCCGGGGGTACCACTGGAGAAGATCGAGCACTCCTTGAATGTCTCGCCGACCGCCAAACCGATCAAGCAGAAACTCTGACGATTTATGTTAAACAAGAAGGAGGCTATTAGGGTAGAAATAAAATGGCTCCTAGCTGCCGGATTTATAAAAGAAGTGTATCATTCTGAGTGGTTAGCAAACCCTGTTCTTGTTCAAAAAGAGAATAAAGAATGGAGAATGTGCGTTGATTACACTGATCTCAACAAACACTGCCCTAAAGACCCCTTCGATCTACCTCGGATAGACGAGGTTGTAGACTCCACCGCCGGCTACAAACTGCTCTCCTTCCTTGATTGTTACTCTGGCTATCACCAGATATCCCTCAAGCAAGACGATCAGATCAAGATGTCGTTCATCACACCTTTCGGTGCGTATTGCTATACCACCATGTCCTTTGGACTCAAGAATGCCTGGGTGACCTACCAAAGGGGCATCTAGATGTGCCTCGATCAACAGATATGCCGCAACGTCGAAGCTTACATCGATGATGTGGTCGTCAAGTCCAAGACCGCCGATAATCTCATCGCCGACCTCGAAAAAACGTTCGCCAACCTGGAAAGGTATAGATGGAAGTTGAACCCCTCAAAGTGCATCTTTGGAGTTCCATCCGGCATACTCTTGGGCTAC